TCCCCCCCTCCTTCCCCTGTCCTGGCTTTTGCCTGGCTCTTGTCGCAGATTCTTGAATCTTCCCTCAATCAAGCGTAGAGGTAGTTTCACCATGTCTCCAGTCCCTCCTCTTCAGAACAACTGGGAGTATTTATTTCAGGCTTCTGGTGTCCCTAACTTTGACTTGGCCCAGTGTGATGCTGCTAAGGGCTGAGAGCCCTGAGAAGCCGCCCTGGTCTGTGTCAGCTGGAGGCTGGTTCCCAGCATGCGCCTGCAGATATTGAGCTTGTTTGCTCATCCTCCTTTTTGTTTGTGTTCTTTGAACACAGCAGCGTTCCTCCAAATGATTTCAGACAGCATGGGAAGCACCGTGTCTTCACTAATTCATGAGTGTTATGGGAAGTCAGGCCTGAAAATAGGATTTTGGCCTTTTCTGAGGCTCAGCTGCCTGTTGAAACATGAAGCCTCATGCCACACCCCTCAGAAACAAAGAATCTGGACAGGAGGTGGTCGGATGACTATTGACATGATCTGTGCACCTCTGGGAGGATGATTCTATTTGTAAGATGGCTAGACTCTCGCTGGGAGTCCTGTTGACCCTATCAAGGAGAGCAGCGATGCAATGTACTCTAATGAGAGTCCTGCTAGATCTGTGACAAGTTAGAAAATCCAGTTGGCCCGAACCAAGCCAGCTCTCAACATACATGGCAAACGATTTTCTCACTTTCTTCCTTGTCTTCAGGAAACTGATCAGGCTTTATATATACTTCTGGAATACAAAAAGCAAAATGTCTATGTGTTTGTCTGAGGTACATTTTCACCCTCAGTTGATGGAAGATAAGTCTGAGACCCCCTTCTGGCCACAATCACACCTTCAGCTGGAAATGAGAGCTCCGGGTGGTTGGAACCCTCACTCCTCCTGTTAATGGGCCACCTAGCCTGGCACAGGGGCGCCTTCTCATTACTGTGCCCTCGCGGGAGCACATGTCATCACTTGCCTGGATGCTGTTGTCCTGCTCTGACCATCATCTACTGCCCTCCTCACCTATTCTTCAGCCCCTGCAGTCCCCATCGTGGTTCATACTCTCACCAGTCCTATTGAAAGCGTTTACAGCTCATAGGCAATGGCTGCTTTCAGCCTTATAAAACACTTCTACAAGTAAAAAGATAGCCTGTTGATTTCATTTGCTTCCGATATGTTGGCATTTTTATTTAATACAGTCGAATGCCATTTGTTAATGTTGCATTACTTTATTGATTGTAAACTCCAGGGGGCCATGTTCCCTAAAATAGCCATTCACACAGTAAAGGGCAACTCAAATTGGATTAGTTTACTTAGAAAAGGTGTCAGCTCTTCCCAGACATCAGTGAGACAACCTCTTCCATTTTAAATACTGTTCTTAAGTTAAGAACCCTTTGAATAATCTGAGATGTGTGAAATAAGGTTAGTCACAGGATTTCCTGCCACCAGGGCTCACAAACAAACTTTCCTCACTTCCTCTTTTTTAAAGTTCAATTTAGGCTAACCCGATCTCCTTGCTTTTGTTTTAGTGGTTAGAATCTGCACCCTGTTACCAATGGTTAAGAGGCTGACAGAACCTCAAGCGCTCTCTCTCTCTCTCTCTGGCACATGCTACCTTCTGTATCACTTTCTGTTTGTCTGTGTCTCTCTGTCTCTGTCTGTCTGTCTCTCACACACACACGCTGAAATAACATTCTATTTACTATAAACTTAGAAAACTTAGTTTCCTCTAGTTTTCGCTTTTTCCTCTGTCCTTATAAACTTTGTCATTTGTCTAATAATCCAGAGTATTTGCCTTCCTCCCAACCTAGCCCTTCTCTTGACATCCTTCTCCCACCTTGCCAGGGGCTTAGAATTTTAAATGATCATCACTCCCAGAGTTCTGGGCTCTGCACTTGGCCAAGCATCAACAAATTCCAGTCTCTCTACCATCTTACTTTACATACCTATGGTTTCTCATAGATGAATTTCCTATACCCTTTTCATCTAAGGGCTTAGGCAGACTGCAAGCTTCTTGAAGGTAGAGATTAGGTTTTTTACATGTGTGCATTCACTAACACAGTGCCAGGCTCTCATTTGTTGAATGAACGGGAACAAAGGTAAACAATTAGATGAAGAACACTTCACGAGATGAGTATATTTTAGTTCAATTGGATTGTGCATTTCCAAGAAGGTCATGGAAGACAGAATCTGATGGTGGGAAATTCAATCCCTGAAGGATCATTTCTCCATTGTGGCGTATCTCAGGTTCTTGAGATGGTATGTGTGATGGGACTGGAAATTTCTTTTCCCAGGGTTGTATTTCCCCATTTTTCACCTGGCTGTCCAGATTTTCAAGTAGTATTCCATCCCTTTCATCTCATCTACTAAAAATCAGCAAAACAAGTAATTTAATTTTCTAACTAAACTTCCTTGCAATAGAAATATCAAACTGTGAACTCCATAACCAGTTAAGTTTCCCCCAATTACAGTTCATGTGACTCACTTTGCAAAACTATAAAACTTTGTTGGATCCTATTTGGGGTCTATCTCCTGGCATTTCTTTTCTTTTCTTTTTTTGTTTCTTTCTTATTTTTTTTTTAATTTAAACAAAATAAAATCCAACAAAACAAAGCAGAACAAAGTCAATCAAAACAAAGCAGCAAAACTGGTACAAAATAGTACAACTATGAAAACAGCAATAGCCACCATAGTACATCTCCTTATCTTCACAATAGTTATCCATTCCATCAGGTAGAGCAAAATCAAACAAAAAAGAATAAAACCAACCAAAACAGAATTTTGAATAAAGCAAAACAGAATAATATTGGATTTCAAAGACAAGACAGAGGGAAATCCCCCATATTTGCTATATTGTATATTGTTATCCTCCCACGAGATGCTCAGTCCATTGGACCCAGGCCTGCAAAACCAACCAAACAAGACACACGTTTAGTTCCTTTATGAACCTTATTTGCTATTAACTCAGCTTGTCCTCCAAACCAGAAGGTTGCTTACAAGGGCCTTGGGGTGAGGTGGGGTGGGGGTGGGGGTGGGGTGGCAGGGTGGTTTGATTCTCAGCACAAGCTGCTGGCACATGGGAGGCTCTGACTTTTCTCCTCCTGGGAGCCATGCGGCTTGCCCGGCTTACCAGAAGGACTGGCTAGTTGGCTTCTTGTTGGATCCTCCCAGTCCCAGCCTGACATTTCTTTTTAATCATAGGGATTATAGTGATGAGGATTTTGGTTGGTTTACTTTACATTTGCGCAGCAATCTGGGATGAAGCTGTACTCTGGTTCTCATGCTCATTGGTTCCTAGAAAAGTAAGGTTCTATTTTGCTTTGTAAATGAGGAATACATTTGACTCTAGCAGACCCCATTTCTGTCTATCCAGTCTACTCGGTGTTCAATAACATAACTGGTACATTGGCACTACATCCGCACCTTAATTTTTCCCTTTTAAGTCCCTGCCACAACCCATGCCACAGGTCTTGCTGTCTCCCTGAACTGTACTGTGTAGTTTGTACTTGTCTATCTTAGGAGATTCTTTCCAGGATTACTCTCAGCCATGGATCCAGGATTCTCTGTTTTGGATAATCCAGTTTCCTTTTCTTAGCTCTCCAACCAATCTCTGTCTGCTCACAATCTCCTATCACAGCTTGTCTATTTGTTAGTTTTCATTAAATACTTCAAAAAATTCTTCATATTCTACCAGCTGAAGGTAAATATTACCTCTGTTCCCTGCTTTTGGTCTGGCTAAGGGAACCCTCTATCACAAAATAAACAACTGACGAATGAAGGACTATTTTTTTATGGTTCCACATGTCCTATGTAGCACTAGGCACAGACTCCCACACATAGCACTGCATAAAGATGAGTTGACTCTGCTTCCTTCCACACAGATCTTCACAATTCATGTCTGTGTCTTTTTTAAGGGACTGTGTCCTCCATTTTCTTCTCACTCTAATGAGCCTAAAGCTGATTGAAGCATGTACTTAATAAAGGATTGTGAATGAATGACAATTTGGGAGAAAAATTAATGCAGAACTTTCAAACTTGAATTCATTTCACAAACGATTTATTATAAAAATTGGATTGAGATGTTACTCAGTTTCCCCAGCCAGAAATCTAGGTTTCACTTATCTCTCTGTTCCTATCATGTGCCCAAATGAAAACATTCAATAAGTGCTGTTTGTTGTCAATTTTATCATGAAATGCTCCTCTCATCTCCAGCTGCACTGTCCATGTGTAGATCACTTTTGATTTTTCTTGGGTAACCACACTGTTAGCAACCTGGACTCCCTGGATACCTCAAATCTCAGCGCCATCAGCACCTCAGTGGCAGAGCCTTTGACAACACGAATGGGCATGACATCACCTGGTCCGGGCTACTGTATGCTCTGTGGCTAAAGTCACTACTTCTTGGTTTAGTAGATATGTTATAAATATTGACTTAAATCATGAAAAATAGGTCATAAGTCTCGAGGAAACTGTATGGGGAATGTGAGAGGGTGATGGGAATATGAGGAATTAAATGTGATTGGGAGACCAGAATACTGACTATGACTAAATGTACCCTGTGGCCAAATATCCTCTATCAATAAAAGTTCATACTGCCATCAGCTTGGTCTTACTATGTACATAATATTTCTGAATGAAAGCAAATTTATGGGGTATATGACTAAGATACAAGAAAAATAGTAACACAAATTTGTGGAGGAGGCAAAACAGTTAAGCAAGTGCTCTTTGTTTTTTTTAACCATATAGTAAATGAATCTCAGAATAGTGTCACTCTTTTATCTTTACTTAGTACTAACCCAATTTGTAAGGCATTTAAAACTTAGTGACATAATTAACCAATCCAATTTATGGTTCATCTTCAAGATATAAATAATGTACATTAACAGAAATAATAAATGCATGAAAATGAATTTGCACTTGAGGCACTTTTATTTGTATAGAATCTGAAACAATTATTCAATATAAACTAAACTTTGTAAACAAAAAAAAGTCTGCCAATGCCAAAGTGGGAAAAGAGGATAAATAAAAAAGTCTAATAATAAAAATTGGACATTTTCCACATTTTAGGAATAGATTTTTTACTTTCTCAAATTAAAAAGAAGAGAAAGAGGGAGTGAGGGAGGGAAAATATGTAGTGTTTATCCTTCTGCAAGTGGTTTACTTCACTTTAAGGTTTATACATGTTTTTGCAGATTACAGGACTCTCTCCTTTTAAAGGCTGAATACCATTTCACTGTGCATAGGTAGCACAGTTTCTTTCATTAATTCGCGTATATTAGTAATATAGAATGATGATATGCATTTTGGTATAGTGTATTGGTACATGCCTATAATATATTGTTAATTTTCATTCCTAATATGCCCCTTCCTTTGTAAGAGAAAACATGCACTATTTAATTCTCTGTAATTTCACTTAATATGATGGTTTCCTCTTCCATCGATTTTCCTGAAAATGACTTTGATTTAATTCTTTTTTATGGCTGAACAATACTCTATTGTGTATCTATACCACATTTTCTATATCCATTCATTGGTTGATGGACACCTAAGTTGTTTCCACAGTTCAGCTATTGTAGATTATACTTCTATAAACCTAGGTATGTATGAGTAACTACACTATGCTGTATTTGTTAGGAAATGTACCAAGGAGTGGTATACCTGGATCAAAGGGATATGTATTTTTTAGTGTGTAAGAAATCACCATAATGATTGTACCAGTTGACCTTCCTTCCAGCAGTGTAGGAGGTTTTCTTCTGTACCAACACCTCCCCCAATAGTCTTCAGCACTCATGGTTTTTGTATTCTTGACAATGGTCCTTCTGACTGGGGTAACATGGAATCTCAGTGTAGTTTCCATTTACATTTCTTTAATGACTAAAGATGCTAAAAGCTTTTCATGTACTGATCGGTCATTTATACTCGCTTGTTTGAAAAGTGTCCATTCAATTCATTTGCCTGTTTATTGATTGGGTTATTAAGAAATAGCTAGAAAAGATTTACTCCCGTTCTGTAGGTTGTGTCTTCACTCTGCTGCGTTTTTTTTTTTTTTTTTGCTGTGCAGAAGCGTTTTAATTTAATGCAGTCCCATGTGTTGATTTTTGATATTATTTGTTGTGCTATTGGGGTCCCACTGAGGAAGCCTTTGTCTGTGCTTACAGGTAGTACAGTTTCTTTATCCATTCATCTGTTCATGGGTGTTTAGGTTGATTTCACATCTTGACTATTGTGAATAGTACTGTAATGTACAAGAGAGCACAGATTAGATGGTGCCTATTTTCATTTTTTTAAAAAACTCAGAATTACTGGCTCTTATAATAGTTCTATTTTTAGATTTATTTACATTTTGGGATGCTGGGGATCAAATCCAGGGCCATGTACAGGATAAGCAAATGCTTTATCAAACTATACTCCTAGCCTGATTTTTAAATTTCTAAAGTACTCTCTACCATCTTCCACAGTGGCTGGGCCTATTTTGCATTGTCACCAACAGGTATAATTGTTTTTACATCCTCCTTAATACTTAGTGTCTTTTTGTGACAATAGCCATCCTGACAAGTAGTGGAAGTGATACATTGTTGTGGTTTTAATTTGCATTTCTCTGATAATTAAGGACATTTCACATCTAGGTTTTAAAGACAATTCCAGTTTAAATTTTATCAGAAAATAATGAGCATCTCACATTTATACAAGAAAAGAACTACTTCCCACTTTCCGTTTTGCTGTTCACGATCACTTGAAAGGAGAAATATAGTTGGTTAGATAGTTGATAATGGAGGGAGACTTCATGCAAGTCATGATGTATTCTTATAGAGGGTGAAAGGCAGCATGAGGAAAGCTCTTGTCATATATTCTGTCCAAGTGAAATGGCTTGCTAGCTTGGGAGACATAGCCCAGGAAGTAGCACCTAATGTCCATCATGTTTTACTCAAACCAACTGGTTAAATGCAAAGCAGTCATGATTTATTCTCAATAGAAGTAAGAATGATGAATTCTCTTAGTGAAGAAATTCCAAGCACATCACATGCCAGTCACATAGAATTCTGCCCCCCCCCCCCAAAAAAAAAAAACTAGAAGGTATCAGTTCCTAAGTACTTTCCTTGAGTGACTCTCCTGAGGGATGGTACTTCTCTCTAAATAACATAAAACACCTTCACCTTTCAAAGGGCTTGAGTTTATTAAATCTGATATACAGTGTGTACTCTGGCAGTTCCCAGATGGTAAATATTCAATTGCTAGTGACACTTTATGAGTAATTATTGTGTTTCAAAGAAAAGGTGCCTCCCAAGTTTCAAATCTTTTGAACTGCTATAGACTTTCATTCAGTACAATCTCCCAATCACAAAATGTTTCGTGCTGTTTCTTAGTGAAATGAATTGCAGAGGTTTATTTCAGTAAGACTTGGAGTTAGTGTCTCACTACATTTTTTTTACTACATTTTACAAAGCTGAACACACAATATATAATTACTGATTGCTTACGAGTTTGATGTTAACATTTTTATTCCCTACCTTCTATGTTACAAATAAAATGCTGAGCATATGTTTCATTATAGCTGTCTTTTTTATCTCAAGAGTCTAGTGCAGTGATTTAAACCTTCTAGAGCTTTCAGTGAAACCAAGATCCCACCGTAAAATGCATGCCCTGGTCTAGTGGGTCAGATAAATACGTGAATCGATAATTACAACTCAACCTGTTAAGTACGATAGCAGACATTTATATGAAGATGAATGGAGGCACTGCCTCAGGTGAACAACTCCCTGAATACTTTTGCTATAGGTTCTTTCTACATAAGGTGGACAAGAGGAAGGAGTTTTTCTAATAGAAATAAAGGCAAAAACATCATGAGATGTTCAGGGAGAAGAGCACCAGCTCTTGTCAGCACAGAGCAGAATGGAGTTGAAGAGCAAGGCATAAAGCTATACAGCGGGGTCATGGTAAGGACTCACAACCTCACTGTGAAAGCCTCAGAGAGCCACTGAAAGGTTTTAAGTACGGATGCATCATGTTCAGACTTGTGCTTCTAAACAGCCCACTGTAGCAGCAACGCAAAGCACAGATCACAAGATTGTGAGCAGACCAATTAAGAAAGTATTGCAGTAATCCAGGTGGGAAACAATGATAGCCTGCACTAGAGGTATGGAAACAAGGAGAAGAAGTTCAAAGTCGGCAGATTTGTGAAACATTATGGAGGCACATCTTGTGACTGACAGAAGAAAGAGCTTGAAGGAGAGGTCAGACATAAGGACTTTAGGCTGGAAACCCTGTTAGATGGTAATAATATTAATTAATGTTAGACGCAATGTCAGTGGCCTAGAATTTGGAATCCAAATTGAAAGGCTCACCACTTATTAGCTGAGATTTGGAGTAAGTCTTTTCTGCCCTAGAAATTATTAAAAATAGTTACAACCTACCTTACAGGTCTTGTGGGAATTATGTGTGATCATATGTAAACGTGCATCATATGTTTGAAGGTGCTATTATGCTACTGACCTGAAAACTTACTTTTGTGACTGTGTGTGTGTGTGTGTGTGTGTGTGTGTGTGTGCGTGCATGTGCACTGGAGCTGGAATCTAGAAGGTGTATTTCAGCTATTGCACCGCTGAGTTACATCTCCAGCCCCTCAAACGCACATTGTTTGAATCTAGCAAAACCAAATCATGACTTTGTTCCTTAGAAAGTTATTTGTACTATGTTTCTCGTAATGAAGCAAAATGTCACTTGAGCAGGACAGGGAGACAGAAAAGATTGCTCAAATCATAATGACAAGTCAAGATGTCAAGTCAATCACCCAAACTGTAGCCCTCTCCACTATGCTGCCAAGCAGGACAGGACTGTAAGTGGCTATTGTGCAGGTGACAGCAGCCATGCTTTTAACATTCCATCAGACCTGGTGCTTTGGCCTGCTTTTAGTCACGTAGGTAAGTGCTCATTGTTTATGTTCTAAAAAAGCAATAGTTGTAACTCAGTGATTTGAGATTTGTTTATCCTAATCAGTAGACTCTTAACAACAAAAATGTCCTCAGGCCCAAGGAGGACACAAACACAAGTGTTATTTTCTCTCTGAACATTCAGTTAAAATTCTACACAAAAATAAAATAAACATGACCTTTGAATTGCTTATCAGTTATGTCTTGCCTCCAAACTCCCATCCTGAAAAGGAGTGTATACCATATCCTCCTTTCCTGAATTGTTTTCATGAAGGAAAGTGCACCCTAAAGGTTGAAGAATCTTCACACACAGTTCTTAGATGAGTAAGAAAGGTCTTCTGCTTTTGTTTTATCTGTGGATGTAACTTAAAACTGCTCTTTGGGAATATGCACACTTGCCTCCGTCATTTTCCTTTCAAAGCACACCAGTCAAATGTTATCCTTAAAGAATCTCTCTGATAAATTAATACACACACAGATTCTAGTGATGGACAAAGGTTTGTTCCTGCTTCTGCAGATAGTTTCATGTTAACAACTGATTCTTCCCTTGACCTACAGTAAGCAACAGGGAATCTGAAAATTCTAGCTTAGGGTCTCCTCAGTGTTACCATGCATGGCATTTATTATGTCATTGTCCTAAAGTTTGAGTTTAGTGTTCATCACATTTTTGGGAGTGAGAAAGGTAGTGTAATTGGGACAATATTGCATCAATCATTCCAGGGAGAATATACATATTAATAAGTAGAACTCTTTGGGGTTTAGCTGAAGCTACATTAATAATTGTTTCCTAAGTCTTCAGTAGAGATGCAACTAGCATTATTAGATTAGAAAGCTGTGATTAGAATTAGGTATTTATAGAAAAGCCTTTAGAGTCCTCACAGTATCATTTTGGAGACATTTTATTTGTCTAAATTATTGTTATTAAGAATTCTTTGCATTTACAAAAATCTACACAACATTGTAGAGCTACCAATATATTTACATTTCCAGGTAATAAGAATGGAGTTATGGCAAATATTTATCTATGTTCTTTTACCCAGTTTCCACTGAGAGCAACAATTGGGAAGTAGCTTGCTGAGGTTAGGGTTATAGACTATGTCCACAAAATTCAATGAGGCTAACTTAAACAAATGGAAGTTTAACCAGCAACTTTGAACTCAGTAATTTCATGGTGTAAACAACTAAAATGTAGCAGCATTTGATTAAGACTTTTGAATTCATTTTCTGGAACTGGAAGTTTAATACTTCTTTAGTATTAGCTAATCTGTTCACTTGGCCAGTGAAATTTAATTTTTAAATATCCACCTCATGCTATGTATGTACCATTCAGTAAAAACACTCTCTCCTCAAATGTAGGAATAAAATAAGACACAAGTCTTAGGGTTGCTTTAAAAAATTATATAGTAGCTGTAAAAATATCCCAATGTGCAATACAGGTATAATGGATAAATACGATTGTCCTAATTAGAAAATTCTATCTTTTAAAAAATCAAATCATTTAAGAACAGTCAGTAAGGTACAGACAGAGAAAGTATTAAAAGGAGGCTTAACATAATCAGATCTGCAGTTTAGAAGGACTCCTTTGGTGGTAGTGTGGCACTGGCACAGGATAAGGGGCAGAGAACAGTAGGATGGGGGGGATGAAACACAGGAGAAAGGGTCACCGACTGAAAAGATACCACTGCAAGCAGCTCAGGCACGGCAAATGGATTCCAGTGACTTGGAAGACACAGTTAATCTGTCGTGACCATCAATCAGTGAGTAGATTGCTGGGGACAAGTGGATTTGAAGGAGAAGGAGAAAGGAGAAATAAATAGTGATTCTCCAAATTTGAGAAGTTGGAATATATGAATATATATATATATATATATATATATATATATATATACTGTCCTTCTTCCTCATGTACTTCAGAACCCACTGACACTCTTCTGGCTTTTTTGTACCTAGTGATTAGGTATTCAAATTCTCCTTTCCCATTTGTGTTCTGTATCTTTAGAGAGCAGGATCAAGGGGCCACGAATCTTCCAAGTCTGAGTTCTGTCCAGGACCAGTTTACTGGGCAGAGATACCTGTGTGAGAAAGTAATAGGGTTCAGGGAGGGGCCGGTCCCGCGTGTGCACTCTCCCCGGCATGAGAGAAACGCAGCCAAGGAGGGATGCTGACGACTGCCAAAGAGCACTGCAAAGCTTCGTGTCAGAGAAATAATACCAAGTGCCAGGTTCTAGGGTGAGGCAAAGCTGTAAAAGGAAAAATGAGTCACACAGTCAGAAATTAGAACAGAGTGAGGAAGAGTTAGGAATTGGAGTAGGAGATAAGCTGGGGTGAATGGTTCAGGACAAGAGCCATGAATTCTGAAAGAATGAGAGAGGCCTGTTTTCATGTAACGTGGACAGGTTGGTACAGGCAAATACCTGATAGCTTAGAGCAGGCCCAGACGCCCTGTGTGGAATCCCTAAGCCAAGGAATCTCTGCCTTGGGAGCTGAAGAAACAGTGTTTTTATAATCATACCAGACTTCCATGTTTGTGTTTCAGTTTCTGAAGATTTGTAGTTTAAATATATAATCTCATTAATAAGTAAGACCGCAAGTTCTTTCACCCCATTGAAATTCAGGGGACAGATGATTGCTAATCCAGAAGTCTAAACCCAAGGCTATCATTCCCATTCTATTGAGATACTCTTTTCAAAGACAAATCCTTGAATTTATAAACACAGACTGCTTCATTAACTGAGTTTAACAGGTAGCAGAGGCTTAGTTACTGACAACTGCCAGGTGGTAAATTGGAACACAGCCGCTGGTTTTCAAATTTGCTGTAATATAATACAGGGCACAGAGCACGCGCTTTGTCTCAAGAGAGACGTCTAATTTCATTTAATGTTTTGCTCAGACTGCTGTAATCTGTATTGCAGTTCAAGGCTAAGAGGTACACCCTGGCTTTGTGGATGGCAAAGACTGAAACAAAAGAGTAGGAAAAATTCAAAGTAGAGTAAATCCTTCCTGCACACCTCAATAGATACCATAATAGTTGCAAAAGAGATAAATTGTTCTAGCAAGAAAAAGCTTGCCAGGGAAATATCCAAGCTGGGAAAGGATCACTAATCTCAGCTGTCTGCAACTCTGTTGCTTGTGTCTTTTGACCTTTGTTCTACTCGAGAATCTCTCCTCGGCCTGTCAGCTGGGATAGCCTTTGTCACCATCAGCCCTGGTTTCCAGCTGTCCTCTGCTTGCCCTAAGTCATGCAGATCATGGATGGACAATTTCTTTTGTTCTACCAAAGCAGATTTGGCACTTTTTGGAATGGATATTTACTCAGAAAAGAGAATATAAATTCAAGGAAATTCTGATGATCAAAACTGCGATTCTTCATTCCAAGTCAATGATTCTCAAAGAGGACTTCCCAGTAGACTATTATCATTAGCAACATCAGGGAACTCATTAGAAGTACAAATTCTCCGGTCCCACCCTAGAACACCTGAATCAGGCATTGAGATAGGGGCCTAACTATCTGAGTTTAAAAAGCCCTTTACGAGTGTTGTAGTCAGGGGTTGCAAGGAGAACAATTGCATACAGGACACATAATTTGTAGTATTATTTATAATGGTCACCCAAGGAGTAAAATATAAAGAATGTGCAGGAAATTTACCCGCAACACTAAAGACATAGAAAATCCAGCCAAGGGCCTGGATCCCATGGCAACAACCTGCGTGAGTTCAGCTGAAACGGAGACCCCATGACAATGCCTCCATGTGTCCAGCTGGAGGCCTAGAGCCCATGACAATGACTCATGTAAGTCTGTTTCATGGAGCTGCGCTGAGAAAGCCCAAAGGTCAGCGGTGGGAGCTAGAAAGTCTGTAAGAGTAGGTTGAAGGATCTGTGCCAGCAGCCTGAGGATTCTTCAGTGGAGCCAGGAAGCGATGCTCAAAATAAGGACCAAGACACCCCGAAAAGTACCACAACCATCCTCAGTGACAAAGAGGGCCTGAGCTCCTCCAATGATGAGAACAGCAGACTTCACATAAGAAAGCCAGTGTGACAAGCTTTTCCTGGAGATTGAACAGCACACATCTTCCCCTCCAGAGCCAGGAAAGGGAGTGATACTTGAAGTAAGGATCAAAGAGCCCCCTAAGTGAACTGCAGCCATCCTCAGCAACAAGGTCCTGAGCTCCTCTGATAATAACAGCCAAGTTCATTTCAGGGGAGCCAGCACAACAAGCTCCTCTAGGCGAACCAACAGCTCCAAACAACAACAAAGCTTAGGAAAACCCACAATGCTACTGTTCCTCTCCAGGTGTCTTTTGTATGCTGGCAACAATCCTCAGGTGGGCCATCCATGCTCAGCATCATGCTATTTCATGCAATTCAGCTAGTGTTAAATTGACCACCAGTTTTTAATCCACAACAAGGTGATTCTAATTTTTTTTTGGTCTTTTTATCGGTACCGGGGATCAAACTCATGACTGCCTGCTTGCAAGACAGGCGATAATGTCACTGAGCTAAATCCCCAGCCCCAACAAGGTGATTCTGATGTGTACTCCAGTTTGAGAACCATTGTCTTAAGAATAGTGTAATCTAGTCCTGGTATCTTTGACTAGTTTTATCTTGCAAAGTTCACAGCTTCCTCATTCTTTTTTCCTTGGATCAACTGTGTTTGGTTTAGTTTTACTACAGCCTCATTGATAGTGGTTACCTCTACCTTAGGGTCAGTAGACTGACTCCATGTTCTGGGTAAGAGAGTGGGCCAAATATCAGTGCTAAGAATCTTTCCAGTAGATTCCACATTTTTGCCTGCTTCCCATGTGCTCTGCATTTCTAAGTACTAAGCACTAAGCACATTTCACTCAGTGTTTCACTGAATCCTCACCACAGCTCTTATAAGGTAGCACAGTACCCTCATCTTCCAAGTGAGGAAATGAAGGTGACCTGTCCCAGGGATCCAGGTAATTAAGGGGACGGAGCCAGCATTTTTACCTAGCTGTCTGTGATTCGTACTCATAACCTTGACTTCACACTGCCTTGAAAGAGACACAGGGCTCTCACATCATACATCCATGCCCAAGGAGCTCCTGTTGTCACATGTCAGCCACAATATTGGAGGGTGCAAGTGCTTTCACATTATCCAGGACAAGGTAACTCACCTTCATGAGCTTTCAGTCCCTTGTCTATAAAACAGGAGCGATGATGACCTTAGAGGGTGCTGCGGAGGGTCAAATGCGTATGTGAAAGTGTTCTAAACTGTAATAGAAGCAAAAGGTGTTATCTATATTTTACAGGCGAAGAAATGAAGCTTAGAGTGCTGAGCTGTCTTTCACAGAATCTATTGACTTTTCGCTTGTTATTTGAGGATGTGAGAATTCTCTGTTCCCAAAGTATCTCCACTTGTAACTAGAAATAGCAGTATTTAAGAAGTATTACCTTATTTTTCTATAAAAATGGAAATGTTCTCCACTAGGATAACCAATGGACAGAACACTGATACATTTTGATCAAGAAAGCTGAAAATGGCCTAGTAGTAGGTCATTGTTGGGGGGAGTCCTAGATTACATGCTGGCTACAGAGATGGGCTTTGGGTGTAGCGGGAGGACACAGAGTCAGGGTGTCAGGGTGAGAGGCAGACTGAGACTTTGCTGTGAGAAGTAGGAGAGTTCACAGGACTGACTAGCTAGCCTCACCATTTTGCTCCTGGATGATCTACCCCTATTACCATTTAAAACCATAGTTGGTCCTATTTCCTTTCTTAAACAAATTCTGTGCCCTCTTATCTTTTCTTTTGTCCCTATCCCCTTCCTCTCTTTCTCAGATCTCCAAGTTTGTTTCATTTTGCTTTTCATAATTCCTCTCTACCAATAAGACTAGTCATCTGTGACCTAGATTGTCCTACCCAGGCTTTCTTCTCTTCTGCTCCCATCCATGGTGTGCCCAGGGCCCATTCAGTGCTTCAATCGGGGTAGAGGTCACAAAGGCAAGATGGGATGCCGGCACATTTGGTGGAAACCATCAGCATCACCCAATAAAATAACAGATGTTCCAAGCAACACCGGATGAGTCTGTCGTTGGGTTCTGTGAGGACCAATGTGATGGAGACGCCCCTGTGCAAGTTTACATGGGAGGATTTTTACACAAGGATTCTCATGCAACTTAATTTCCTATTTTTTTCCTTGCATGCAACATATTTGCTCTGAAACCCATTTTTAAAGGAAATATGAGCATGAAATAACCCAAAGTAAATGCTGACTAGATGACAGATGTTAAAGAAAAAAAATCCTGTACTTGCTCTCTTTATCATAATTTGTTCTTCAGCAAGTCACTCTTCAAAAATGCTCCATTTCTATAGAGTATAAAGCTCTGTTTTTAATAGAATTCTTTGTAATAGAATTCTATCACTCAAAACAGCTTCAAACACACTATGAATTATATTCATATTAAGGTAGCCATAAGGAATTTAATTACCTTTCCTCCATGGCATAAGTAAACAAAGGCACACTCAGCCAAATTTCTGATCTTTCAGGCCAGAATTTTATTTCTTTATTTTTTTTATGTATGTAAGTATGTATGTATGTATATGCGTATGTATTGGTACTGGGGATTGAACCCAGGTAGTGCCGACTTATATCCCAGCCCTTTAAAAATGTATTTATTTTAGGAAATAGTGGCCTCAAACTTATGATGCAACTTGCCGACTAGTTGGAATTGTAAACTGGTGGCTCCGTTCTTGGCCCAGCTCAGAAGCTTTAAAGAGAGAATCAGAGACAAGTTGGTAATAGGAGAGGAGAGGGTGTGCTTGTCTTCTTTGAGGACAACTTCAAAGGTTTAAGTAAGATAAATATCTTCCTTATTTTTTAACATTGTTTTTGTTTTCTACAAAAGTAATCTAAATCCTTGAGTCTCCCCTTTGTACCGTTGCTTTAGCCTGAGTTCCACAGGTCTACTGCCCAGTATATAAAGTCTCACTTTATTTTGTCTTGGATTTGACTTTTGAGTTGAAAGGTCTGTGCTGAGTTCTAGACAGTAAATAGCTCTGATCACTATTGACTCTATACCTACCGTGCGTGATGCTTTTTACATTGAAGAAAGTGGTGGGAACTACTTATGGGGTGAGCGGCACGAGTGATTCAGTGCATGTGAAGAACTTAGGCATGTGCTGGGCACAGAGCAAGCCCTAAATAAGCGATCGTTCCTAGCGTCACTGTGTTGACTTGGGCCGCTGCCTCCGTTTCCATGTTTTGCACCTGACTCTGTGTAGCGCCTTCTCATCTCCTCATTCTTGCTGCTCACCTCTGTGCCACATTGGACCCCATGTCACCTTTCTTCACTTGTCACGCCTTGAGTTTAACATTATGTTCTAGATATAGTTTTGAAGTTCATTTTTAAAATTAATTTTTAAAAATAAGATAACATTATTTCATTTCTAGTCTTTTCTCTGTTGACTTACAGAATGTTGCTAGTCCTTCTGGCCAAAGTGGGGCAGTGAGCTCAAATTCTTTCAGAAATAACTTACAACTTTTCCGTCATTTTCCAGAGACAGAGGTAGGTAACAAAACATTTAATTATTTTTTGTACAGTTAATTTTTTTCTGTATACCTTACTGAGATGATCTGTTATTTCTTTCTTTTTCCTAATCCTTCAATTTTGAGACATTTTCTTTTCATTTATCCTACATTAGTTTGTCATTTCACTGCTGAGAAGAGGTAGTGCCAGCTACAAACACAGAAATCTGTTGTTTACACCTAATTCTCTATTATTTGTAATACTTAAAGGAGCCTGGGCCCTTGGGAATCTTGTGCTTGGCATAGCTCCATCCTGAAAGCACCCACTTTTTCCTACTCATTCTGTAAGTTAGCTTCCCTTTCATGAAAAAAGTGCTGCACAAATCCCAGAGGGGCTCATTAACAAAACAAATACTAAAAAAATATGGAAGCTTGTCAAGGACTTTTTATAAAGTCTTTGTGAATTCTGTGCCTTGGTTCTTCCCTGTCCATATGTTATTTACTCTCTTGAGGAGTGCTAACAGATTAGTCAGACAGAATTCCCTCTCGGAAACCAGCAGCTTTCCCCCTGAAAGGTCATGTTTGACCATGCCTCTAGATTAATTATTAGGCTATGAATCAATACTTCAGAGATTTCTAGATTTTGCTTTTTAAGAAACGTGTCCATAGAATCATTAAACGTCATGGTGGAAAGAACCATAGAGAGAGCCTAATTCCCTTCATTTTATGATATAGAAACCGAGGCCTAGAATGGCTTCTCTTTAACTTGGTTTTTCATCAATTAGTCTTTTAAATATTTTAGTAAAATTCTTATATTGGATTGTGCAGAAGTGTTTGGGAATATGTTTACTTTGATTTCTCAAATGGAATGCATTTTTCTTCCCATGCAGCATACAACAGACATAATTTATGGAAGGAAAATATTAAGAACTTCAATTTTTTTAAATTGGCTTGACACATTTAACTTTATTGTCATGTGATCTGTTTCACAATTTTCTTTTTGTTATTGCCATTAACTATTCAATCCCCAAAATCATATCTACTTTCTGTCTGTGAAAATCACATTGCCAAATGTACATTGAGTTACGTCTGCTGCAGACACTGCTCTAAGAACTTTCTGTTGACCCCCACCCCTGCAAGTTCTAATCTAGGCACTTGGAACCTACATTGGTTGAAGACAGCTTTGGGCTCAGGGAAACTGTAGTTTTATCAAGGTGACACCGGGGGTCCTTTTTTCATGATCTGAGTGACAAATGCCTGAATGTGTTAACTTTATGAAAATTCACTGAGTTGTTGCACATTTAAGATTTGTGCAGGTTTCTGTAGATATCTCATACATTAATGAAGATTTAAAGAGAAAAAACTTATTTAAGGCTTTATTGAGAACTTGATTAGTGGATACTTTTAGGATCTTCTTTTGACAGATGAGATGACTGTGGTATAAGAAAACTACCTTGCTGTAGATCACAGAGCTGGTATGTAACCTAGACTGCAATTTGAAACTTCAGTAGTCTGAGTTCTGCTCTTAATATACTATAACAAGTGCTATATCTCAGAATTGACTTTTTTCAGGATCAAGTTTATTGCTTTCTAAGCTTAAGATGACTCGGTTCTAACTGCATCTGTTCCTGTACTTGTCCTGTATATATCACCACCCCTTAATTCAGCAGGCATGTGTACACATTCACACTTAGAGCATAAAACGGGGAATGCTTTAATGACATAAATTCCTTATTGACAGCCATTTTTTGTGTCTCAGTGTTTCTTAAAGACAACTGAAGTATATAAACTCCAACTTGCAACTCTAAGAGCATTCTCATTTTTTAAACAGTTGCTTTTTTGTTGGTACTTGTTTGCCATATGTAATGATCATATTCATCATGGAGATGGTGTATTTGTATGTGATATACTATATCTTAATTCTTTTTTTCATTTCCTTCCCCTCCCTTTAACCCCTTTTCCTCCTCTCCATTTACCAAAATTCTGTTTCCATTTTCTGTTCAGTTCTCTCTCTCTCTCTCTCTCTCTCTCTCTCTCTCTCTCTCTCAAAAAGTACAGAAATCACAATGTAATCTTTTGTTTGAACATAAACATTTTAGGGATTCAGAAAACCACAGAAGGAAGGAAAGCATTTTAGGCTCTCTGAGTTCCCAGGGACTCTATTCTTGATGGTTGGGTAATGTCTGAACAAGTCAAAATAGTTTCCTAAGTAAGGGCTCGATTTTCAGAGACTCATAAGGGTTGCTAAGAGTAGCAGAGGCTAAGAGAAGGGACAAATGGACAGGAGAAACAAGTACCACTTTTTGTAAATTTTCAATTCTATACCGGATATTGCATTAGAGCAGTTTGAATTCATTACAACATTTCACTGTCACTGTTACCATTTGGTGTAGATATTAATAATGCCCATTTTTCAGACAAAGAAAATGAGGTGCAGACATCAACTTCACATATCCTAATAAGGTCTTCTAGGTTGCAAGGCCCATATTTCCATCCGTTAAATTGCACAATCTTAAAAAAAATGTCTCTCTCTGTTTCAGAGTAATAATATCAAAAGAAAATGACATGTGTAAATATACCTTTTCTTTTAAAAAGCTTTTACTGAAAGCCCTTATTCTTTACAAAGAACACAAAGGTGCTTTGTAATGGAAAGGAAAGGTGTTTTGAGCAACAGTACTGATCAAGTAATTCCACTCATTATAGTGGATCATTACAGTGAATCACACTTTTCCTTAATTTTTTCCATAGAGAACACTAAAGCAAAAATCAGTTTGAAAATACTCTGGATGTTGTCACTTCTGGAATGAGAATTCAGATTCAGAATGTTGTTATTAAATGATATTAATAATTAGAATACATTAAAATAAATTCAAAGTTCTAATAGATCTGTGATCTTGACCATGAGGCTCATTCAATAGTCAGTAGTTTTTCAATACTCCAAATATAGAGGAGCATTCTGTTCTCCATGCTTTATAATCAGTATAAAGGTGAAGGTTAAAAATCATGATTCTGATGCTACACTCCCTGAGTTTGGCTCCACATCTTAAGAACTGTTTGACCTTGGCTTGTCGGTTTGTCTGATTTAGCAAATAAAAGTCTAGGAGATCCTGTCAAATTTGAATCTCAGATAATCAACAATGCTTAAGTATAAATATGTCTCATGCAGAATCCGTCATTCATTACAAATTCAAATTTAACTGGTATCCTGTATTTCATCTGACAAAGATTTATTTAATGTCTCTGAGCTTCAGCGTCGCCATCTGTGAAGTGGGAATGATACTACGGTACCAGGAGCTAGCCCATGGAATTGAGGTAAGGGCTCGATGGTGTGGTATATAAACTGTAACACTGTCTGAGACAGAGTTAACATTATATAAATGATGGTTATTTTAATTCATTCCTCCATCTACAGTATTTTAAGTATGGCTTGGCTACTGAGTTTAGGACGGTGGGAGTTTAGGACTTTGTGCTTCATTTCCTACATGCAGACCCACAGTGGAGAAACGAGAGCGCAGTACTGTGTTATGCACACTCACTTTGAATACCTTACTTTTTCACTAGGAAAAACATTCAATAACCCAACATTTTACAACCCAGACACAGCTCCTCCTGCTATTGTTCATATAAATTACCTTTCCATACGGCTATAAATTTTTTATGCCTTTGGAGTCTGGAAAAAATAAGGAAATATATCGTTTAAAAATCTACTTTATGAACTAAATCTGTCCTTTACAACGTAGTAAGCAACTATTTCTCTGTATTTACCTAGTAGGACTTTGTATATTGCCAGATGCAAATGAAGCATTAAAATTTAAGAGCTGGTATATTTCCGTTTCTTGTAATACCTGAGAAAAAACCCCAAATACATAAAAAGTGTAGTGTACAAAATATTTAACATACAATCTATTTGTCTATGCTTTCATGATCTCATATTGTAAATATTTACCACTATTTACACAATTTATGTGAAAAATATGATTTACCTGTGTTAATTTCATGTTGGCAGTTAGCCACTTGAATGCTTACCTTCACATATGGTAAACTATAGGGATGTGTGAAGTTTCATAAAAGGTCAATAATACAGAAAGAATGAAAGAACCAGAACAATATGAATGATTCTGAAAAATCGGAGAGATATTAACTCAACTCACTACATACTTTCACAGCAGGCAAATATCAAGATTTTGCCAGTAATCTGTGCTTTAGATTGCAATAAATTGTTCTTGTTTTTCTTTCCATTGTAGGAGACACTAACTTGGCTTTGTGAAACCAGGTGTGCATGTCATCTCCCACCTCATTTTCTTTGAGTGTAGGATGGGAAATATAATACAAACTGTTCTGGTGCACAATAATCTATTTTACAGTTGCATGCAAGAAAACCATCCCAGAGAACTTGGCAATGTAGCATTCAGGTCTCTTCACATCATTTCTTGTCCTTTACTCAGCTCCTTTCTTTACTGTCATTATCAAGCATTCAAAGGGCAGTTTATGCATGCTGTAACACAAAAGAAATACTTAAGTAATACAATCCTGTAGACAGAAGATTAACAGTCACTACTTTGAAAAAAAATGGTATACCTTCTGCAGATAGATGTGACACCCAGTAGGCACAGGCAGCATTTGAGTGGTCCAAAATACAGAACAGTTATTCCAGAAGTATTTTTCTAAATAGGAAGTGAGTGGTTTCAACTTGGTTTCTATTTTTATTTCCTTTATTAATACCTCGCCGTGAGGTTACAAAGGATTCATTTCTGCAGTTGTCAAATCTATATTTGCAATCTGAACTCTTGCTTTTTTCAACTGCCTCCTGCACATTTCCACTTAGAAGTGATGTAGGCATCTCAAACTCAGGGTACCCAAACTGATCTCCCTATGTTTCCCCCAATCCTGACGCTTGTGCATTCCCTGGCTCAGTTGCAAGCATCCCCTGTCCAGTTCCTCGAAACTAGATGTTTCTGGCATTTGAAACCTCTCCCTCTGGTCGTGTTCACGTCCAATCAATTGAATGTTGTTGATTCCACCTTCAAGTTATTTCTGGAATCTATCTTCACCTCTGTATTCTCACAGCCACTAATTTAGTTCAGTCCCTCTTCTGTAGTTTTTAAATGGCTTCCTAATGGCCTCTTAATAAGTCCCTCTGCTTCCACTCTCTCCTATATCCAATCTATCCTTTATGTGCTAAGTAGAGTTTTCTTTTGAAAAAGCAAATCTGGATCAAATTCCTTGCTTTCTTAAAACCCTTCAGGACTCCTAGGAGCCTATAGGATCAAGAATAAACCCTGCAGAGGGGTTCACAGCCGTCCCCTAACTTATCCTTCCAGTCTCATTGCTGAGATGCCTCATGAACTGTTTTTGTGGGTTCAAAAGCAAACAGCCAGGTAGTCCTCAAAGAAAGCATCTCATTTCTCTAAGCTAGTGGTAAGAATACTCATTACCATAGCGTTTTTATGGCACTGGGGATTGAGCCCAGAGCCTTTGCACTGAGTTACAGCCCTAGCTCTTGTTGAGTTTTGCACAGGGTCTCACTAAGTTGCCAAGCTTCCTAGGCTGGGCTTGAACTGCCTCCTGCCTCAAGCTCCCAGGTTGCTGAGTTACAGGTGTGCAGCATCACTCGGGCTAATCACAGCTTTTACAAAATAAAATCCCAGTATCCATTCTTTGCTTGAAACCGACAAATTCAGAATCTCTTATGAACTGAGAGTACAATATATATTTTCACCAGATTACAGGCGATGGGCCTTCACAGTCCTGCCTTAGGCATTTGTTATGCTGTTCCACCTGTCTAGGATTCCCTGTCTTCTCTGTCCCCTCACCTCAGTTCTTTACTTACTCATTTCTCAAGGTTTAGCTCAAATATCAGCGCCTCTGTGATGCCTTCCGGGACCTACACTGGTAAATGACTTGCCCTTGGCTTTGCTGCTGTATTTTAAATAGACTGCTACTATACTCATTGCTTACCTTGGTCGCGAGTTGTCTGTGGTTTTCTTCTTTGAGAAAGCAAACTCACAGCACTTCTGACGGTGCTTTGCACTGTGCTCAAGAAGGACACAAGAAGAAACAGAAAGATGGTGCAGCTTAGGCTGGATGTGGAGGCAAAGTGAAAGTATAAAAAAGACATTCTGTCTTGGGTTTCTCAGTAAAAATTCCATCATAGGCTACAGTTAGATCCTTGTGGCGGACCCCGTCATAGGACATACCGAATGTTAACTAATCTTATAAAGCCAACATGCCCCCTGGGGAAAAAAGAGGAGCATGATGGGAACTTTTCTTGTTTACAGTGTTGAGCTTCTGCCCCCAGAATCTTCTGGCAGTCCCTGATAACAGTTCTACAAGGGGTGCCTGGTAGTGCCTGCTCTCTTCATGTTCTCTTGCTTCCAGCAATAATAAAACCATGAAAGTTTTTGCCACAGGGTGCAGAGCCTCAGCTAATAAAGTTGAAGGGTGGTAGTTTCACACAACTGCCTTTCTTAGAGGTCCTGGCAACAACTTCCTTTTACTCAGTATGAGCTGATGGCATAGTCACTTCCTATTTGGTCTCAACTGCCAGTTTTTTTCCTGTTTTTAACTGCCACCTTTGACTAGAGCTGTTTTCTTGAGAAGCCTATGAATTAAAGAACAAGTGGTCAATTGAATATCTTTTTAAAAGCACACTCAGTGGTGAAGAAATATTGCTGGTATTGGTGGTTGAGCATCATTTCATGGAAAGACATGAAAAGGCTCTGCTGTGACTAAACACTGTACCAGGAGAGCAAAAAGAAGTTACATCGTCTTATTAAAAGATTCGTCTCCCAAAGAAGCTCACCCAAGAAATGCCCTTCAAACTGTTCACAGAAGAAAGTCTCTTTGCATGCCTATTTAGCAAGGCAAAACTGTTATTAGGGGATTACCAGTGCAGCAAGTCGTGCTTCTTTTGGCACTGAGGACACTGGTTTTGACCCCATGCGGGCTCTGAGGGCCTTCATCTTGGGCCTGAGGCATCTAGAGGTCAACAGTGAGATTCTGTAACTGAGGGTTCAGGCACGTAGCAAAGCTGAAATCAAGAAAGCAGCTTTGCACCCCTACCTCTCCGCGTGTCTGCAATTGTCCAGGCCACATTTGCTTCTCTCAGCTCTGTAACCAACTAATAAAGGCAAGACGTTATGAGCTCAATTCTTTCCGTACTTAATGCAAATATTTCAAAGCAAGTAAGAATATATGTAAAGAAATGCTATAAGCAGGAAACCACTTAGGCAGCATCTGCTTCCACCCACCTCCTCTGTTGCTCGATTCCCCCTCTGCAGCTCAGGAAGTAAAGCTAGTGAGAAAATTCAGCTGTGCAAAGTCTTAGATACTATAGTTTTCATTAAAAATAGTGCTGTGGTCGAGCACTGTGCAAGCCCCAAAACATACAAGGTGATTCCAGAGAATTCAGCAATTACACAGGTTTAATGTTCCTGAAAAGAACTGTTTCAGTTGGTTTTTCCTCGGGATGCTTGTGAGAACAATAACAAGAATACAACATCTGCAAGAACTATTATATCATGGTTTCCAATTTGATACCCTCAGAGAGTAAAAAGGAGATTTGAGATATCACATATGTTTTTATTTAAAAGAAAACGATCTTTGAATGCTATACGTCCAAATATCAGTAGAGTCTTAGAGCTTGAGTCACAATATACGTATCACTGGATGGTAAGCTTCTAAAATTACTCAGATAATTTCCCTTGGTTTAAAATATTCTGATAATTGAAAGAAATCCAAATAATCCTATTAATTTGCTGTGCTATTTTACCCAGTTTATATATTTCAACATAGTCATTAGGCTCAAAACGTGAAACTCCAAAATGTGAAATTCTACCTTTAAATTTTGTAAACTGGAAGAGCAGTCCAATTTATCTTGATGAATTAATGTATTGGAAGTCTTTTAGGCAACACTAGTATATTATCACATTTGGTGATAAGTTTTTTTTTAAAAAAATTCCATTTTTTCTTAAAGCCATATTCTATGAAAGCTTACCTTGAAGAAGTAAAGTATTCAAGTGTCCACTGTGTACTGGGAGGGTAACAAAAGCATACATGAATTCCTTGTTTCCTACTTTAGTGCAGTGGATCTGTGGCTTAACACAAAGGTAAGGTAACAATACTCCTGTTTCTAACACCAAATTAATAAACCTACTAAACTGTGGCTCTTTTGGGGCGGGCATTCATATTGCAATAAAATTCTGGAAGAACAGTGATTCCCAAGTCTGCCTCTTGGTTAGCAAGTAATGTAGGAGCAGAGAGAATGGTTTCTCAAATATTGGCACCATTTTCCTTTTGGGTTGGACAATTCTTTGTTGGAGAGACTGTCCTGTGTAATATAGGATGGTTAGTGTTCCTGTCCTCTACCCACTAGATACCAGTCATGTCTCCTTCCTCACTTGTGACATCCCAAAATGTTTTTTTAGCAGGCACAACTGCACCTGATTGAGAATTCTGGCTTTAGTACATTCCTTCACTGTTCCTTACAGTTTGGTTATTGTCATCTACCTGTACTTTAGCTATGAACCAGTCCATTCAGTGAATATTTATAAACATGGACAAAGTTAAATATTTAATATTGAAGGTATGACAAATGACAGGAAATTGAAACCACAAAAGCTAAATTTAAATTTGAAGGAACTCAAGAACACTCATTTGGAATTCACTAACTTTACTTAATTTATATATAATCTTTATTTGTATAACTATTTAGCATTCATAGCCACTCAGATCACATGGGTCAAGAAAGTACCAAATTCTGAGGCACTGTATTACACCCTGTGCTACTCAGAAGCTTAAAATGTAGAGTCTCCCTTCAAGGAACTTTATCTACCAAGCTGCAGTAGAGCTCCTCTGTTCAAGGATTCAAGATCCAAAAAGTCCTGAAATCTGAAACTCCTTTTACCAGCAGGATAGTCTAAAATTGTTGAAGTTTACAGCATTTCAGGTTTCAGATTTTCATATTTGTGACAGTCAACTGACAATGTCCATGCAAAAAGCCCCCAATCTGAAAAGTTCCACATCATTTCTTGTGTCAAGTATTTCTGGTAAGGGATATTTAACCTACGTCACTAGAATGTGTATGTATATGTGTAGGGGATGGGTAACAAAAGCATAATTGAATTTCTTGTCATTTTACATAAATTAAGAATTTTAGCTGGGTGTGGTAGTGTATGCCTGTAACCCCAGCACTGGGGAGGCGGCGACAGAAGGATAGCCGTGAGTTCCAGGTCAGCCTGGGCTACAAAATGAGTTCAAGGACAGCCTGGACTACATGGTGACATCCTGTCTCAAAAAATAATTAAGAAGTAATGTGGTCTAGGAGAGACAAAAATTCTTGATGCTCATGAAATTTGAATTAATTTCAAATACTGACAACTTCATAGAAATTTATGTATATATGCATGTGCATTTATATGCATATGTGCACACACAATAGATAAGGCATAAGTAAAACTATAAGACACTTCATGCAAAAATTCAAATGATCTCTATCAATAATAGCAACAACCAATGGCTTATTTATTATCAGTAGAGGTGAACAAAGGTACAAGAGTTTGCTAAGCGATGTTTTTAGGAAGTGTCCCAGCTCTGAAAATGTCACACTCACTGTTCCCCACTATTATGTCACCCTAACCCAGAATGAAGTTAGGGAAAGTCACTCCTCTGATAAGTTTAATTTACTTATTAAAACCATATGTGCACTCTCAGGTGACTGTGAACTCAAAATAACTAGAGAGAATTTACAAGAAAAAAATGAATAGTGTAACACATGAAGTGACCAATTTAAAGTTTCAGCAAGAGCAATGCCTTGGAATTTAGCCTGCCATCAATAAAATACGCAAAGAACCCATTACACATCTAGTAATCTCAATGAAGAATTCAAAGGAATTGGATTCATCTATTCAAGTAACATTCATTGAGGGCCTACTATGTGCCACACACTGTTCTAGGCTCTGGGGCTATAGCAATGAAGGAAACAAGAAGAACACTTGCCCTCAGCAAGCTGCCACTCTACCTGAGTAATTTCCATATAAGAGAAGCTTGATTTCTGGCTTCAAAGGACCCAATCAGAAAAAGTCATGAAATAGGTAAATGAGAAAAAAGCACTATAGTGTGAGTGCTGTTTCTACTGCCATGCAATAGGAAAGTCTGAAGGAGCAACCGGCATGCAATGAACCCACCCACTCAACGAAGTAGGTCTTAAAAAACTGTGTGTGATCTAAAGATCAGTCCTCTCACCACTCCCTAGGAGCTTGTTAGCATTACAAAATCTTGGCCTCAGTCCAAGCTTGTGAGCTAAGTCCTGCACTTTTAAAAGAACCCCAGGAGATTTCTACAGGCCTTCTAAGTGTAGGTAGCATTGCAAGTTTCTGGCATTAAGTGTGACCTGGGCTAGTGTGACGCAGACCCTAGGTTTGGGGATACCATAAAGCTAGCAATAATGAAAGCCTGAACTTTGGAAACCTGGAGTGACTAAAATGCAGTTGTGTCCTTTATCATCTTTAAAAACAAACAGAAGCCACATGGTAGAGATGTAATAAGTTGATCATCAATCAGCAGAACCCAAGTTTGAATTTCTAACTGTATTGGCTTTTTTTTTCAGTCTTAAAGTTTGAGTTCAGGGCCTTTGTACTGTGCTATGTCCACACTCTTTTTATTTTGTAGTTTGAGAGACAAGATCTTGTTCAGTTTCCTAGTCAAGGCTCCTTCTCAGTAGCCTCTTAGAGCAGCTGGGATTCCAGGTGTGAACCTAATTTACCATTTTTTTTTGTGGTGGTGGTGGTGGGGGATCGAAATCAAGACCTCGCACTTGCCAGGAAGGCGCTTATGCCCCTGAGCTAAATCCCCAGCCCTACTTTACCATCTTTTAACTGTTAATATATAGGTCAAATTACTTACTTCGCTGAACTTTTTTATTCCACTTTCTAAAGGGGAAGAAATCAGTATGAGTTCAGCAGGCTTCGTCAAAATTCAATAATGTAACATATAAAACACTTTGTGTTTGCAGCTCTGTCACAAAAATGATATATATTAGTAACAATGATATTGACAACAATCATAGTTTCTGCAAGGTGTAAAAGGAAAAGCATTTACTATTTACCAGAGTCTCTCTCCCCCAACGTGTTGGGTACTGAGAACCCTGACAAATTGCCAGGTAAGGAATTTCATCTTCATTTTACACTGGTACTTGGAATTTACTTTTTAAAAATGTGATTAACCCCTTGTGTGTTCTCACAGAATCGCTTGTGAGAGTTCTGTGATTGGTATTACTACTGTTGTCAGTGTAGTTATTAGTAGAATACATTCAAAAGAACTCCAACCATGGAACTTGAAATGGGGTAGGGAGTTGTGGAAACCACTACTACTGTGTGTGCTAACTTCAGTAACACATACAGCTAATCATCTAATCTCATTTTTCTCGCCTCTATTTTCTTAATTTTCCTGCCAGTAGATCATCAGTTTTCCAAT